ATCAGCATCAGCATCATCATCATCATCATCATCATCATCATCATCATCATCATCATCATCATCATCATCATCATCATCATCATCATCATCATTATCATCACCATCACCATCATCATCATCAGCAGCAGCAGCATCATCAGCATCATCATCAACATCATCATACGCATCCTCCTCATCGTCATCATCAGCATCCGTATCATCATCAACACCATCACCATCACCATCACCATCACCATCACCATCATCATCATCATCATCATCATCATCATCATCATCATCAGAATCATCATCATCATCACAATCATCATCACCATCAGCATCAGCAGCATCACCATCAGCAGCAGCATCGGCATCATCATCATCATCATCATCATCATCATCATCATCATCACCAGCAGCATCCCCAGCAACATCAGCAACATCATCATCATAATCCGCCGACCCCTTGTGGGTCTCCAGGCGTGTGAGATTCAATCTCACACGCCTGGAGACCCACACCCTGGAGACCCATCTATTGGGGGGGGACAGTTTATCCCCCCCCAATAATCCCCCCCCAGGGACCCCAAACCAGGATTTTGACCCCCCCCCCCGGCCCGGGGTGGCCCCGGACCGAACACCAGGGGCGGTCTGGGCTCCCTGGGCTCGCTCTTGAGCTGCACGACAGCACTTGACGCCTCCCCAGCGACAGGGGCCCAAGGGCAGGGTCCTCCCAGCGCCGCTCGGCGGCGCCTACGGGCCAGGACCTGGGAATGACAGGATGTCTTGAGGAGGCAGTTTGGCGCGCGTAAAATGCACTCCTGATGGCTTCCCGCAATTTCATGCCCAGGGCCTGGCGCCCAGGGCCTGGGAATTACATGGTGCCTTGAAAAATCTGCGATTACGAAACGCACTCCAGACGGTTTCCAGCAATTCCATGCCTGGGACCAGGCGCACCCAGCCTACGTAGGGTCCATCTCGGGCCGCGGCGCCGTGCAGCGGCGCCTACGGGCCAGGGCCTGGGAATTGCGGGATGCCTTGGGGATGCCGTCTTGCGCCAGAACGCGCTCCTGGGGCCTGGCGCCAAGGGCTTGAGGATTGACGAATGCATTGAGGAGACCGTTCTGCGCGCGCAGAACACACCCCTGAAAGCATACCATACGAAATCAATATGGGAAATCCTCAGGGACTAAAGACCGGGGGGAGGGGAAGGAGGAGGAGGAGGTGGAGGAGGAGGAGGTCGAAGAAGAAGAAGAGGGCGGAGAAGATGGAGGAGGAGGAGGCGGAGGAGGAAGAGGAGGAGGAGGAAGAGTGAGGAGGAGGAGGAGGCGGAGGAGGAGGAGCAGGAGGAGGAGGAAGGCAGAAAGAAGGAGAAGATGGAGGAGGAGGAGGAGGATGGAGGAGAAAGGAAGAGGAGGAGGAAGAAGAAGAGGGCAAAGGAGGAAAAAGAGGAGGAGGGAGAAATGCGGAAAAGGAGGAGGAGGCTGAAGAAGAAGAAGAAGAAGAGGGTGGAGGAGGAGGAGCAGGAAGAGGAGGAGGTGGACGAGAGGAGGGAGGAAGGCGGAAAAAGGAGGAGGAAAAGGAGGAATACTAATAGCAATACTAGTAATACAAAGAAGCCTAATACTGATAAGAGTAAGGGACATATTACAAATACGCATCACATTAATGATACAAACGAATGCTAATAGACTATTAATACTAATACGAATACCAATCATCATAACCATACTCGTAATTAATAAGAAGAAGACGAACAGGAAACTAAGATTCAGCATGCTAAGAAACATACGAGTAATCAGACTAAGAACAAGAAGAAGGCGGAGGAGCAGGAGGGGGAGGAGGAAGCCGTGGCGATGGCCGCGACGGCGGCGAGGAGCACGGCGAGGGCGCGGAGGGCGGCGTCGGTCCCCCAGGGGCGCGCCGTCGACGCCGTCGCACGTGGTGCACAGGTCCCCCAGCGAGGCCCATATGGAGACCATCCACATGAACACCGGGCACGGAGGGGGAGATGGAGGAGGAGGAGGAGGAGGAGGAGGAGGAGGAGGAGGGACGAGGAGGAGCCCTCCCCCCCACTCCTCCTCCCCTCCTCCTCCTCCTCCTCCTCCTCCTCCTCCTCCTCCTCCTCCTCCTCCTCCTCCGGAAATCATGTTCCCGGAGAGGCTTCCGGATTCAGGATCTCGAACGATGCGGAAAAGACTGAGCCCAGGGTGGCTCTGCGCATGCGGACAGCGTCGCCGCCGTCGGCGTGGCCGTCGTCGTCGTCGCCGTCGATCGACGATCGGCGGCGTCGACTGTTGTCATCGTCGCCGATCGTCGTCGTCGTCGGTCGTCGACCGTCGTCGTCGTCGTGGTCGTCGTCGTCGTCGTCGTCGTCGTCGTCGTCGTCGTCAATCACCGTCGCCGGTCGTCGTCACCGATCGTCGATTGCCCTGGAGCCTCCTCCTCTCTCCCCCCTCCTCCCCTCCACTCCTCCTCCCCGCCTCCTCCTTCTTCTCCTCCTCTTCCTCTTCCTTCTCCTCCTCCTCCTCCTCCTTCGCCCTCTCCGTCTCCTCCGCGCGGAAGAAATCCAACAACATCTCGCGCAAATCAACGAACTGTGGCCCTCCGGGCCTTTTCGAAAGTCTTTTGGGATCGCCCTGAGGCCCTCTTGGGCAAGCTGGGACCCCGGAAATCATGTTCCCGGGGAGGCCTCCGGGAAGCTTCCGTGAACATGATTTCGAACGAGGCCATCTTGGCCCTCCATGAGGTCGTCTTGGGGGGCTCCTGGGCCGGCTTTGGGGCCTGTTGGGCCGTCTTGGGGGGTTCCGTGAGCCCCACAGGACGACCCTCTTGGGCCGTCTTGGGCCCTCTTGGGTCTCTCTTGGGCTGTCTTGGGGCTCCTCGGGGGCGTCTCAGGCACTGTGAAGACGAAGCAAGCGAGTTTGCTGGAAACGTACGTTTTGCGAAGGAATGGGCCGATTTGTGCCTCTTGAAGGCCGTCTTGGGGCCCTCTTCGGCCATCTTCAAGCCATCTCGGGCCCTCTTGGGGCGCTCTTGGGCGTCTTGGGGCCCTCTTGGGCCTCGCTGAGGCTGGTTTGTGGGTTTCTTGGACTGTCTTTGGGGCCTCTTGGGCCGTCTTGGGCAGGTTCGTGGACCCCACAGGACGCCCGGGGCGGCCATGCCAACCGGTGACACCACCCAACCTAGCATTGCATTGCATGCCGTGGCATGGCACGGGAAATGACGCCAGCGCTGCAGCGGGAGCACGAGTCGAAACGAGCGGAAGCGCGGAAATGAGGCCAGCGCTGCAGCGGGAGCACGATTCGGAACGAGCGGAAGCACGGAAATGCGGCCAGCGCTGCAGCGGGAGCACGATTCGGAACGAGCGGGGCCCGAAAATGAGGCCGGCGCCTCAGCGAGAGCAGCATTTTGAAAAAAAATGCAAGCGAAAACCCAACTCCGGGGAAACCTGTGTAAAAACAGCACGCGGGGGGGGTCGAGCACTTTCAAACCGTCATCAGGGGAAGAGGGAGAGTAGTATTCATATTGAATAATTGTGGAGTCCCCCTGGTTCTGTTCGATGGCGCCGAATGTCGGGGGGGGCCCCCTTTGAAACGCGCCCTCGAATGTTCCCAAGGCAAGCGCCCGTGAAACGCCTTCCCTCAGACGATGACGACGACGACGACGGCGACGGCGACGGCGACAGCGACGGCGACGACGACGGCCGACGGCCGACGGACGACGGTGACGACGACGGGCGACGATGACGACGACGACGACAACGACAATGACAACGACAATAACGACGACGGCGACGACGACGACGACGACGATGCTGCTGCCGCCGCCGCTGCCACCGCCGCCGCCGCCGCCGCCGCCGTTGCACGCCCGCCCGCCCGCCTGCCCGCCCGCGCGCGCCCGCTGACCAGCACGCGCTTGCAAGCGCCCGCCGCCCGCCCGCCCGCCCGCCCGCGCGCCCGCGCGCCTGCTCAGTGCACGCCCGGCCGCCCGCCCGCCCGCCCGCGCGCCCGCCCGCGCGCGCCCGCCCGCCCGCCCGCGCCCGCCCGCATGCTCGCGCGCTCGCGCCCGCTCGCGCGCGCCACGTGGCAACACCAGGGGATGGAAACGAATACTGCTCCACTCTTCTTGCCACGTGGCAGCGCACCGAGGGGGGAACAAACACTACTCCACTGTACTCGCCACGTGGCAGCGCCTGGGCACGTGGCAACGAAGTGGGCCGGGAGCACATGCTACTGCACCCCACTCGCCACGTGGCAACGCCACGGTACGGCTTGAGCCAAGCAATCAATACGATTGGCTGGACACGAATACGGTTGTGTCCCCGATACGGGCTGGCTACGGATAATCAATCAGACAAGCACTAACCGGTGAAACCTGGTCCATGCGGTGAGGCCTAACGCACTGGGGCCCACGTCGTGAACAAAAAATGGCGTCGAGGTCTTGGGGGAAGGGCAAGCAACCGTTTGCATCACGCTACTTCTCCGATCTCGCTGCCATTGGGGCGGCTCGAAGGCAACAACATGTGAACCCTACCCCTGCAGGTAAGGATTACTGAAACGCTTGCTGGGGCTCAGAATTCGAAGGACGTCTGCAGCCGAATGACTCCCTGGCGGGTGCCTCCGATACCCCAGCGTCGATTGGACCAGCAGGGGTGGGTTTCGCCCGTGGTCGCAGAGCTCGGGACCCCTGGAGCTTGACGAGAACGCTGATACGACGGTGTATGCGCACTGGGCGAAACGTTCCGTGGTTCACGGTAGGGCTTAGGTGCCCCATCGACAATGCAATAACGGATACAAGCCGTTCGGAAGAATTGATGAATGCACTAAGCTGGAGGGCTGTTAAACTATGTTGGATCTCGGCAAGCCCAAGCAAGTGACACTCAAAGATATAAGCGATGACTAGTTGGTTTTGGAGGGCGCTTAAGATCAGATTGGCACCTGATCTGTCAAGCAAAACTTGATTATAACGAACAGCCTGTACGTGCCAATACAGAGGAAGGGGAGGCAAAGGTGGAGGAGGAGCACCAGAGAGAAACAATACACCAGCAGCCGCTCCCGTCGGCTTATTGGGTGCAGCGGGTGAGAGTAGCAGATTGCCAGAATCGGGTTCATGTTGATCATGAAATACCATAAATCTTCTCCTCGGCCGCCGACGTTTATCTGATTTTGACCATCCTATCGTGCGCGACCGGCCTTGCAAAGCAGGTGCATAGCTTGGTTAAAGTCTCATCGGAGGTCTTGAGCAGGCGATCGGACGAAAGAGCTCACTGAAGGGCGATCGGACTCGGGCGGGTGATATCAATGAGTGAGCAGCATGAGCGCGAAGCTAAGATCCGCTCTGAAGTTCCCCACCCAAACAGCTTTATTGTGGGCCATGTCCAGACGAAGCATCAACTCCTGCGCCGTGAACTCTTTCTCGTCTTTGGGACCTGCCACATCGAGATTGTTTTGGCAGCTGGTCATTGTTAATCCCCAACAAGCTGCCACCATGTCACAACAGATGCTCGAGAGCCTGGACCCTTCGAGGGAATAACAATACGCCAGCGGCAACAAAGAGGATCGAACATGTTGAGGAGCAGTGAGGAGATGGCAGAAGATGAAGAGAGAGAAAAGGAGAAGAAGGAGAAGGAGAGGGGTAAGGAGGATCCACGGCTAGTTCGGCGCGGACGTCGGTTTCGGACACCGCGTGAATAGATCAATGATGGGTAAAGCTCCGCTATCCGACAGCATGGATCATTCCAAAGTTGGTCATGATCGGGCTGCCGGTGGCCTTCAGCTTCAATCTCTTGAGCGTCCGCGCTGGCGCGGCCGCCGAGTCGATGTCGGCGCGGCTTCCGCCCGCCGTGCATCCGTTCTCGTTGCCCCGTGGACTTTCTCTGCCGTGTCCCGTCCAGGCCAGAAT